AAAGAGCGGCCTTCTCGAAGGAGGGAGACCATAGACTGGAAAAAGGGGAGCTTCCAAAATGGGATACAAAGGGGTCAAAGGGGACTCCATGAGGGGTCCAAGTGATGGTCCAAAAGGTGCCATAAAAGGGGATCCTGTAAAGCCTCTGACAACGTCAATGTGCTGCGGCTGCTGCGCAGCTTTTAATGATTTATTTGAGAAAATTTACACGTGAGCGCCAGAGAAAAAGGGGGCGTGGTGGCTAAAGGGGGCTCGGTGAAAACAAACACTACTACATACAGACGCCGGCAAACAGAAGATGAATGGAAATGGGAACCCGCATGGAAAGTGGGAACTGGAACTGGAACATGGCAGGGCCACCATCGAAAGGAGGCGAAGTCGTTGTCCAGGGGGAAGGGAGGCCATCCTGGTGAATTAAGTTGCCAGACCATGAAATGCTTTGGCACGTACGTAGCGCCAATTCCGCGAAGCTTTTTGCATAAACAAAAGACAGCGGCGCGGGTGGGTGCCGAAAAGGGGGTTGAGGTTGGGGGGTTTGGAGTATTGGGCACAGGGCCAGGTGGGGTTCTTCCAGTTCTTGGCTCTGCCTTGCTATCTTCTCTCCTTCATCGCTCGTTCGCTTTTTGTGTGTGTGTGTATTATTTTTGTTACAATTCGCGGTTATTTTTTTCCATATTCCTTTAACGATTTATCATGCGAAAATTGTCTGGGGCCAAAGCCACGCTCACTTTGCATATGCCAAGCTGAAGCTATGCACAGTGGGCCCATATACAGTAAAATTTTAAATTTAAATATAATTTAACAAGAAAAGAAGCAAACTTTGGCAAGCCAAAGTTTGTATACCCTTGCAGTTTGCAATTAGGTTAAAAAACAAAACATTTTGGTAAAAAGAAAATAAGAAGAAATAAAAGATATATAAAACATTTATACATATGGTATAAAACAAAAACAAAATTTCAAATTCATATAAAATATTATAAAATATTATATGTATTATATAAAATATATGTAGAGTTTCGTTAAGCTAGCCCGTAGTATTTTTTTTCAAATTTACGCGGTTTTCTAGCTGTCCAAATGTCAAAATTGAGAACCCCATGATTCTCTCTCGCTCTCTTAAGTTACACTCATCATCGCGAGAGCAAAACAACAAAAAATATTTGCGCGCGAGGACAGAAAAGTTGGAGAATAAAGGCAATAAGAAAATAGTTCTGTTTCACTCACCCACATACATTGCGTACGGTAAATCCTAACGGCGAATTAGTGAACGAAGAAAAAAGTACATTGTCGGTGCCGTTGCACACATTTTAAACACATATTTTGTTCATATTTGTTGCACTTGCATCAAAAACTAACTAGCCGACACTAGCCAATGCACTGATCTTGGCTATAAAAGATTGAAAGTACGAAAAACACCGCAACGGCACGCAACTAACACTTCACTGTGGGGCTCGCAGTTTTACCGCACTTTTGGCACTTGCCCACTAGTTTTTCCAATGTACTTTTCAATTAATTTCACCTTTTCAGCCGCTGTGACCTCCTGCATGAAGATCTTTTCGTTTTTTTAGGTAATTCTTAAGCCGTCGTCTTTTTGCAAATCGGCTTTGGAGCTAGAGGTGCAAGGAGATCGATACTAGTATACGATAGGTGAAGTATCAACTTAATATTTGGGGTATCGAAATATCGTTGTCCCCACTGAGTACCAAAAGCCACCGGGAGAGGGTGAGTTTGATCCGCTATACTGAATGGCGCCAATGTTTTGCGATGTTTAAATTGTTTTCTCTCAGCTTGTATCTAATCAGTAAAATCTTGAATCTTAAACCTAAAATAATCGCAAAATTTCTCTGGTTTAAATTGCATTTCCCACATCCGTTTATTATTGCAAATTTCCATATTGATGATTTAACCACAGTGCAAGCGTTTACTATTATTGTTTTACCACCTGCGGGTGTTTTTCTCTCCCAGCACCACCGCACTCTCTCCTTTGGCACTACGTAAATTTAGTCACGTTGTTTAAATAATAAACTGCAGTTCACACACACGCCCCCGCAGAAAAACACACTCGCACACACACTCTACACCTCCACCCCGGGCGAAATTATGCAAAGCAAAGAAAAGATATATCTGGGAGCCAGAATCAGAGACAATGGCCGGAGTTATGATGACAATGTGCATACGTCATGACGGGCTGTGGCTTCGGTGGTGGTGATGAGGGAGTTACGACTACGAAGGGCTCCCTAGCTCCAAGCCACGATTTGATTTAGTTTATGGCGCCCGAAACCACCTGAAACTGATTCCCAGATACAACTCAATCAGGGAGCAGGTGGTGCAATGGCCGGAATGGGAATAGAAATAAGCACAATTAATTATGGTTTATCGCTAAACAAATATCTGGGCCTTTTAATTAGCATGAAATATACGAATTCTAAGATAAGATCTGTGTAATTTTATGGGGCCAACTTGGGGAGTAACCGTTAACGGTTGAACTCGGATAGCGATTTAGATCCAAAGTCGTTGTAAATTGAGCGATAAAGCCCTTAAAAACCTTAAGATGGGAAATTAATGGGTTGCAGTAGGGCTAAGGCTTGTGGTAAAGCTAGTTAGTTGGGGTTCACCCTAGAGATGAGTTCGGAGAATGAATTAAATCATTAAGAAATCAATGATATTAAAGGCAATTTGATTTTATTACTATATTTTTAATAAAAAATATTTTTTAGATTTAAAAAGAAACGAAGTTAACTTCGGGAAATCGATACTATTTTTTCTCCTTATTGATGTGTGTATCTAGTTATATTAAATCTATATTTTTCTAAGCTAAATTTTTGGACAAATCATAGTTTTTTGAAATATCATAACTAAGCCAACAATTCATTAATTTCAATTCAGAAAGCATTTCTGTGCTAGTTTTTATAAGGCTAATAAATCTGCATACTGGGTTTTTAAATATAAAAAAAATAATTTTTGCTCAAATTATGACAATTTTAATGATGTAACCCCTTATCATTTTTTCAATTTTTGAAAAAATTTCAAAAATTTTAGATTTTGACCGGACATGGCTAGATCGATTCAGCTGTTAATGCTGATCAAGAATATATATGGTTTAAAGGATCAGAAATGACTGCTTCACTGCGTTTCAACGTTATAAAAAAATATTTTAAAACTGAATTTTAAAAAAGAAAACCGTTCCAGTTTTTCCGTTAAATATATTTTCAACACGAAGTTCAAATATTTTTCTATCGAGAAAAAACATTTCAAGATATTAACAAGTTACAATATATTATAAAATATTTTAAAATTGAATTTATTTAATATTATAATACAGCCGATTGAAAACGATATTTTCCGATATATCCCATAGCATGTATCTCTTCGATATCCATCGCTAGTCCACCCCATTTTAGGGCAAAACTGACACAGCTGACATTTGCATACTCAACGAACTCCCAGGTACGGCGCAGAACAATTTGTTACATTGTTTTTACCAACTTAGTTGTGGACCAAGACCAAGAATTATTACGCAGCATAAATTACGGAAGGCAGAAAGGGGGGACCGAGTGCGACCCAGTTAACCGCCCGCAGGCAACAAAAGGGTTACCAAAAATAGCAATCCCAGCCATATAAAGTGGGAGACAGAGTGCCAGCATCCTCGACCTCATCCACATCCTCCTTGCGGCACATAAGGCCATAAAATAGTTGTCGCTGGCTACCGGCTGCCGGGTCTCTCTGTCTCTGGCCTCGGATAAGCATCTGGCCCCCGCTCTATGGAGTTGGCCTCTGATTACTTCGTTAAGTTGCATGTTCCTACAAATTGTTTCCAAAGAAAGGCAATGAAAACGAAAATATTTTTCCCTCCAGTTCAAATACAAAATGCAGAAGAGCGAAGAGAAAAAGCGCAGAGGGGCTCCATGGAGCTGTAAAGGGGTTAAAGGTAATCACAACAGAACACAACATGAAAATTGTGAAAGGTGCATCTCTCTCTCGCTCTCTCTGGTCTCTAGTTTATGCTTGATCCCGATCTCTGGCTGACTCCTGTCAAAATATATTCCAGCTCTTATCTTGGCTTTGTCATCGCAGACAAGTGCCTGTGTCTGTGCCAGTGTCTGGGAACTGGAGCTCTGAGGCCGGGGAACTTCATTAGAGAAAGTCCCCCAAAAAACAAAAAACATATCCCCGGAGAGAGATGAAGACCCCTTCGGCTACTAATTTTTAGTAGCTTTGTTTTGGTGTGTATATTTTGTCAAAGCTAATTAGTACGTTGAACCATTAACAATGCATCTGGCGATGGCCAGTGATGAATATATGACTGAGCCCGAAAAAACCCCCTGTCGGAGTGTGAACTGCACATTTTCGTCTTTCTTTCTTTTGGGTTTCCCTTCAGTCATTATGACATTGGCATTAGCATAATACGCGTATTATGCGTATTAATTACATCGCAGACATTTGCATTTAAACGCCTATTTGTTCCAGACCCAAGACGATCTCAAGACGGTGGTGGGTCCGAGTCCCGAATACCTCCCCGGTAGCCAAAGTTTTGGGCTGTAATTATTGAATTAGAAGACAATAGGGCCTAAAGAGGCAGAAACCGGCAGAAGCCAGAGAGAGATGCGTACACTTTGATAGCCACAGAGAGAGAGAGATGGGGCAGGGAAAAGACCACCCGAGCGTGGAGGTAAATCCAAAGATGATGATGAGCCCAGGACAGGAGAACAAAAAGAGTTATTATGTGGATATTTGCATAAATTTCACGCCCTTGGTAGGTGAAATCAACCAGGGAGAGGAAGTGCCCTGGGCCACAGAGGTTGTTCTCAGAGTTTAATCGCTTTGCCCAAGGAAACTGACACTCAGATTTGGAATGTTGGAAAACAAATAGTATACAAAATGGCATTATTTATGTATTAATATAGAAATAAATATAGAAACTTTAATAGAATTGTAATAAACATTAAATTAAACAGAGACTAAATATCAATATCACATAACTTTCACCTAACAAAGCCTCCAATTTAACCCAACATACTAAGGAACTCGCTGCCCAGATGATGGACATCGCTGAAGTGCTCCAGCAGGGACTTGGAACACCTTGGATATAAACGATTGCAATCGCTGCCAGCTGCTCCCAGTCTCTCCGCCTGCAGGTAATTATTGTCCGAGTGCTCTGCCAGGGGATCCACCGAGCTGGAAGGTCTACACAATAAAAAAAGGTGTGATAAAATCAACTCCTCGATATTGCAACGATCCTACGATCGCAAACTCACGTAAGCAGGATGTGAAGGACTTCGCCCAGCAGGCCATTCCGATCATCGAAGGGTGCGGCAGCACTCTCGCAGATGCTTTTCAGGACACAGACTCGACCATTGAGCTTCATGCGGATTGCCAGGGCAGTGAAGGCTTCGTAGACTGACCAGCGATAGCTACCCAAAGCCTGCAGATCCTCCTGCAGGATATTCGGATCCAGACCCATCTGTTCCTCGGACTGCTGCAGGATCTTCTCAAAGATTGTGGCATTCTGCGGCAGCCTCCTGGCAGTGATTTCATGGACATTCTTGACTCTCAATTGCTTGGCGGAGTGAGGCAAAACATAGTCGGCCTTCATGACATAACCCGTGACCACATGTTCCGTTTTAAGATCCTCCACGGGAATACCAAAGCCAGCGATCATTTAAAAGAGAGTTGCTTTAGTTCTTCCAAAATCTGATTTATAGATTATATAGTGTACTTACCTGCAGACGTGTGGGATTACCTCGGGGATAAATCAGGGGCAGCCATCGGGCTTTTCTTACTAAAATATCACTCTCAATGTGAAGGCTTGAGGCTTCTTTGTAAACATTCACTAAACTCAAAACAAAAAGGACTACTTTAACCGAAAATCTCATGGTTAAGTCCTTGGAAAACTCAATGGTCCGTAATAACCTCACAGCTCAGAAGCAGAATGATCACTAAATTAGCAAACTTTGATAAGATTTCACTTTAACAATCGACAACCAACTTGAACTGATTACTTTCTTCGATTAGAAAAAAACGAAAGTGTGATTAGCTTTGGGCTATATAGCACACTTTAGTCACGATTGGAAGTGGATCCAATATCTTAACCTATACTGTAAGCTTTCTGGCTCCACAAAAGTTCACGTTCTTTTAATTAACACTCCGTGTATACAGACCGACTTTTGTTTCTTTTACAAGGCCCCGTTGCCACCAAGAACACTGAGCAAAAGTTTTGGCTTCCGTTTAGTTTATTCTCTTAAAATAATACCTTGTCCAGGTTGTGATGCAGTTCACTAAAGTGCTGGAGCAGACTTAGCCGGCACTCCTTGAAGACCCGATCGCAGCCAGCACCGGAGTGACCCACCTTTTCCGCATAATAATACTCGTTGTCCGCATGCTCTGAGAGCTTGTCCACGGAGGAGGAGGGTCTGCGGAGAAAGAAATCGATTTTAAGGGATATATTTAAGAAGATAACGATACTATATATATTCTATAGCTTAGCCGTCTATCTAAAATATTAATTCATAACTAAAAACATTACTCACGTCAACAGTATATGCATAATATCCGCAAAGAGACCATTGGCAAAGTGAAAAGGCTCTTCGGCTGCCTCACAGATGCTCTTCAGCACACAGATCCTGCCCTGGTAGCCTAGTCGATCCGCCAATCCTTCCAGTCCCTTGTACACAGTCCAGCGATAACTGCTCAGAACCTTATTGGTCCTGGTCAGCAGCTTCCTGGTGTTCTTCCCCAGCTCATCCACTCCAACCAGAAAGTTCTCGAACATGGGCTTCCGCTGTCTTCTCGCACCTGTAATACCTGGCGTGGCCACCTGGGTGAGGGGCAGAGCTGTGGGTGTCCTCAGATCATCGGGAGTTATGGGCAGCCAGTATTCCACCTTGAGGACATAACCAGTAGTCACCGCCTCATAATTGAGATCCTCCAGAGGAATACCAATGCCACCAATGAACTGGAAGCAAAATCAATTAAATTAGGAGTTAAATTCTATGAGGATCCATTATCATCTTACCATGACACGGGTGGGCGAGGTGGTGGGAAAAATCAACCAGGGAATGGGAGCTCTCTTGCTCCTCTGGTGCTTTGAGAGACTACCCAAAGAGGCCATCACCTGACAGAGCAGGCAACTGGCCAAAATGATGGCTATGCTGGATTTCATGTTGCTGTCTGTTTATAGAGCTAAAGGCAGTGCGTGCTAATGCCAGCTCGTTCTTTAAGATACTAATCCATATTCTTGCTGTTCTTTTTTCAAGCTCACGAATTTTATTTTGATTTCTCAATAAAAACGGCTTGATCGATAGATCTGAGCGACATGAAGAAGACATCTACTTTCTCGCGCGAGAATGTTACACATTCTAACAATTAGCACCTGAGCTTCGACTGGAGACGGGGTCAAGTGGTAACCGTGTAAATCTTGCATATTCCAGTTTTCTTTTTTCTTGGCCACTTCTCACCCATTCAGTGGAATTGCTGCCAATTCCAAACGCCCATCATTCTAAGTGTTTGAGCAACCTGTTATTTTCGCAAAACTGCATTTAGTTGCAGGTAAAACTTTCTTCGCGATGGGTGCACTTCTTTGGAAGTTCTTCTGGGGACTGATCTTGGTTTGTAGTTTGAAATTGGTTCACAGCTTTCTGGTCTTTCCAAGGCAGGGATCTTTTGGTGTAAGTATATATAGCTAAGGATACCAATTCGGTGAGTTCTATCCTTTAGATACTTTTAGTTGCTGGCTGCCGTGGCCATTCCTTTGGATTTGTCGCCTAAAACTGTTTACATGGCTTTCAACTTTGAGTCCAACTATGCACTGCCCTCTAATGATTCATACAATCAGTGGATTGATAGGGTGAGTTACTAATGAAATCCAGAATAATAGTGAAATATTATTATTTCTCTAACGTAAATATAGTGGCAACTTGACGAACACTTTTTGGGCGTTCCTGGCAATGTGACCCCCATCAATGCCCGTCACAAGGCCAGCGAGGATTTGGTCCCCCAAAATGAGAGCAATGAGGACGAAGATTCCGAAGTGAGACGCCGCTCGGTGGGTTCACCACCACCTATCCGGCGGCGTGATTTCTACCGTGGCATCATGAACTATCTAACCCACTATGGATACAATGGCTCCGCCTGCCTGCTCCGCGTCATCTGCGAGGTCAGCGAATCACCTTTAGATGCCCACAATGGCCTGTTGGGCAGTCTCTTTCAGGTTCTATTCATGTGAGTGAGGAGGAGAGAAAGGAGTACGTTTCCTTCACTAATTATGATACCTTTTGCCGCAGGCCGACGACGAGTGCCGCGGAAGAGGAACTGCAGCACGTGGACGAGCTGTACGAGGCCACCGATGCGGGCACGCGTGGCCTGGGCTGCTCCGATTACGTGGCCAACTGTAGACACAGTGCCCTGGACCTGATAAGCCTGGTGCTCTGAATAATTCCATCCAAAATTATAATAAAATATACAACTTTAATGGAAATAAAGCTCGAGGAGGTGCTGTCCTTGGATGTAGAAGCTTTAAGTGGGTTCTTTGTAAGGATATTTTGAGTCAACTTTGATGTAATCTCTGTTCTTTCCTTTGACTTATCTTAAAGAAATTCGTAAAAATTAAATTTTAGACAAAAATTAAATACTTAAATCGACAATCTAGATGCTTTAATACATTTTGAGATCAATATTTATTCCTTTTAACAAGAGTTTCCCTCTTTTAAGTTTCAAAATTAATTTAAAGGACTTAATCAATGTTTCTTCTGCACAGCTTAAGATTCCCGAAGTCACCTCCTGCTGCGGCGTGAAATGTTTTAATTTCGCTTAAAGAGCTTAAGGACGATGACACAGTGTCGCGGCAACAAAAGGAGACGAGGAGCTACGAAACTAATGCCAAAAAAACAAAGTCCTAAGCTGGCCGCAGGGATCTGGTTTTGGATTTTGGTTTGCTTAGGGGTTTTCAGCTGGGTTTACCTCACTTTTGGACATGTGTGATGTCTGCTTTATATTTCTCTGTGCTCCTTTCCCTTTGCATTTTTTTTTGGTTGGCTCTCTGATCGCTTTTTCCGCTCCTTTTGTGAAGAATATATGTATGGCATAGTCCTGCGCCGTCTTTGTCCTTTGAGTGCGTTTTGCGGCCTGTCAACAATGCCCCAGAGGAGTCTCCTGTTCCGTTGTTCTTCGTTGTTTTTTTTTTTTTCATTTTATTTGTTTGTTTTCTATTTCTTTGATTCGATTTGCCGCCTTAAAGGACTCAACCAAAGGACCGAATATTCCGCCGAATGGTGAGAGCGAATTACGCCTTCTTTGATTTTGCCAAGCCATTGAAATCATAATTAGAAGACAAATGATTCCTCTTTTCTTCTCGAGATCCCCAGACAATGGCCAGGCATTGAACCTGAAGTACTTATGTACGCCACAGTTTGATAAAGGTTTCCAAAAATATAAAAAACACACAAGAAACTTGAGTATTAATAAGCTTAGAGGAAGGAGTTGAAGGAGTTTTAAACACAACAAAAAATAAATAAATAAAGGAAATGGGATCGGGGTTAATGCTATCTTGGAGAATACATAACAAATATTTGAGTTGTTTGTATAAGTAAGAAATTCTTTGATTGCCTATTATACTTTTTTATTTAATTGATTTTGTTATGGGTTTTAACCTTTGAATATAATGAGATTAAGGTGGTAGAGCTAAAAAGAAATCCTTCTTGATTAGTTTAAATCCATGAAATTCTAGATCTAAACTATTCAAATTCTTTAATAGGAATAATATTTATTAAAAAATATCTAGCTGAACTTTTTCTGTTAGTAATACATCTTTTTCATTCCTGGATAACCTTGGTCACCTTCTCATGACTATGAATAACATCCATCAACTCATATCCATCTTTTGCTCTCTGACTATCTCTATCTTGACTATATCTACATTTCATATATCTTTAAGAACGCTCCATCTTCTCCTATATCTCAATTGTGGGATCATAAATGTCAACCATCAAAAGTGATCCATCTCCTTGGGTTTCCTCTCCCTTTTTATGCGTTTTTCTGCAGCTCATTTCATCACTTCAACATGGAGAGATGTCAGAGGATGTGTCTCCTCCACTGATTTACGGCCCAGCTAGAGATTTTAGTTTATTTTTGTGTGTTGGCATTGACATTCAACTATATAACATCTTCATTTTAATGGGGTGCGGGCAGGTGTTAAGGAGGTTATCCACGCGATTCACGCTTCCTGTTGCGGTTAGAATGAGGCTTGGGGCATGTCTCTCTTCCTCTGGGGGCTGATAGGAATTGATTTGTAATTAGTTGCAGTTGCAGTCAACAATGTGATTATGTCGAGGGAGGAGTCTTCTGGGAGCTCTGAGGGCGGAGTGGGATCTAGGGTTACACAGATGCGAGCAGACCGACCATGATCCCGAGAAGCATATCCACTTGAGATCTTGGAGGTTTAAGCATAAATTACACATTCAGAACACAGCATTATCCTAGGCCATTTGACAGCTCCCTTAAGTAGTCATCTATCCATGACATATGCGGTATGCCGACTCTCTGGAGGCGTTCTAGTGAGTTGTAAACGCATCTGTGGCCAGGGATTTGGTCCTGCCTTTTGTGGATATTGACGGGCGATTCCCGATCCCGATCTCCATATACTCCATATATCTATATCTATATCCCAGCCACCATGTGTCGGCAACTGCTGCGTATTCCATGGCTGTTGACAGTTCGGTGGTGTAAATCATTGTCAACCGCTTTGAGGTTTCCATTTAATAAATTCAAGTATTTTGTGTGCGTGTGTCCGCACTGGCCGGTTATTAAATTAGAGTTTAATCCACTTCGGACACGCGTCTGCGAACATTAATTGAATTCATAAATGAGCAGTTTATATGATATTTATATATATTAACTAATTACCGTTTTATTCGATTGTTGTTTCCCTGTGAATTCCTTTTTTTGTGATTGCGCCACTTTTTGTGCTCCTTTTGGTTCCATCAACAATTGGATTAAATTCATAATGCAAAATGGCATTTAAAATGACGCTTTTAATAAAGCCAAAGCGCGGTCGAGAACAACAACAACGACAACAAAAAATCATGGTAACGAAGTTGCAAAATTCCATTTGACTGGTTGGGGATTTTCGGTTTATTTTAATTAACTTAATGAAATGCATTTGGTGAGGTTTATAAAATGTATATTCCGCAAGATTGTTTAAGGGATTACGCTATGGATTTGTTCATATTGAGTTTACTTAATATTGGACTAAGGTGATAAGAGTATTTTAAAATGTAACCGCTCGGAAGAACAAATCAAAGAAGTCTAATTTTGTAACCCTTTTTCTCTTTTGCTGATGCTTTATTCTTTCTAATAGTCACTAGTTATTCCTTATGCTTATTTACTTATCGAAAGAAGTTAATTTAAAGCCAAAAACCCCAAGATAATTATATAGAACTTGCTCACCTTTAACTAATAATAAAGAAACCCACGCCTGAGTGCATTTTCAAGCATGGAATCAACCATTTTCTGGTTCTTATCAAACACTAATCTTAATGAAGAACTTCTTTGGATCTCTATCAGCACAAGTTCTCCCATGAATTTCCCGATTATAATGTTTCTAAAAAACCATATCAAATTGATGGCAAACGTAATAAAAACGGGAATCATTAACCAAAGAAGCCGCAAAGTGTGTTCCCACAACTCTACATCTTTATCGGGGGCAAACATCAACACCTCAGCTCATCCTAGGTTATCGGTCATATTCAGAGTCGGGTCATATGAATAATGTCAAATTATTTCATTGCACCAACAAGCCACCCTGCTTGATGCATTTATATTTTTTGATCGATTGCCTTGCGAGAAGGGAAACTAGTTTGACATTAATTGACTGCCAAATATGCACAAGCGCATGAAATTATGGAAAATCTTATTAAAGTCATCATACCCTGGAGCGTCTAAGAAAAATAAAAATCAACTCGACCAAAAAGTTCATAAATGCTAATGTGGCCCCGAAGCCTGACGATGATTGATGGTGGTCGGTGGTCGGTGGCCGCCTCCAAACGCCATAACGTAGTAAAAGTTCCGCAAAAGTGGGAAACCCCATTTCCCGCAGACTTGCGGCACCGGAAGACGGATCAATCCTTGGATGAAACTGTGTATACATTTCACCTTTGTGTAGTTGCTCCTGGTTCCCTTTTAAGCCAATTTAATCCCAAGCCGGCTTAGGATATTACGATCTGGGGATTACAGGCCATGTTGCAACATCTTTAACGGCGGCACAGATTTTCTTGTTAATATGCGTTGGCAAATATTTGTGAACGGGATTTTGTTTGTAGGCGGTGTTCGCCTAATGATCTTTGCCAAAAAGGAAATCAGATTTTCTAGTTCCTGGTAAAGTAGGTGGCACACCCAAATATCCTTTTGTCTGACAAGTCCGCCTTACAGGCTCTTATCCAGCTGCATTTGTCTGTTTTTATTTGGCCAAAGACGCGAGGGCGGGCTTTCATTTCTTTCTCTCTAAATAAAGCAAACAGTGTTGGCTTTTTTACAGGAAAATGTACACGGAATTTATAAATAATAACTTCATTAAAATAGCTAAAACTTAGACAGAAATAAATGTAGAATAATATAATACCTAATATAAAAAATTTTCTTTTGAAACAAAAGAAGAGGAAAATCCAAAACAGCTAGAATGACAGCACTGACCAGGACCCTTTATTCCCATATCTCCTCACATTCCTGAAACCCTTCGTCCTTTTTGGACTCTCCATGTGCTCCATGTGTCTGCTTCGAGTCCTTCGCATCGCATAATTTTTCACTCGCTCGTTGTTCTGGTGCGTATATCCCTCGGCTGTCTGCTGCTTTTTTTTGTCCCTCCCCCTTCATATTTTTTTCATGTGTGTTGATAAATTTGCTTAGATTATTATCCTGGATCCTGGGCATGGCGCTTGGAGCTCTGCTTTTGCCGCTATCTCCCTGTCGTAATTAGTCTCGAGCTTGTTTGCCCAGCATTTGCACAGAATGCTTTCCCAGGCGCCGCCGCCGCCGCACGCACTCACGTACGGACAGCGGTCGCCAGGACATGGACATGGACATGGGCTGGGCCAGGACTTGGGTCTAGGCAAATTGCTGGAAGGCTGTATGGAATATGAATAAGTGGAATTCGTTTTTGCAGCACAAATACCTCATATTCTAATAGATAACCCGCCTTGGCGGCCCTAAATTGCAGGATATATCAGGGTGAAAGCGCAGCTCTCTGTACCTTTCCCCCCCAAAAGTCAAACTGGCAACCTTTTAGCATAAATTTCTCCAAGCACGACAGGAAGTCGTCGCCAAACGCCTCCGTCAACCGCAATTTCCATTAGCAGCTCAAGGCAAAGGGAACTTCATTCACATGTGGGATATGTACACATATAGAGTAGTATATGGATGACGGTCCCCGGGAACATTTG